TCACTTCCTGTTCTGGCGAAAGGGGAGGGAGCTCCCACGCGGCCGCCTCGTGGCGAGGGATCGCTTCCGGGAACAGCCCCCAAGGTGGGGCGGAAGGCTTCGCCTCCCTCTCGCGCCAGGGGGCGCTCAGGAGCTCTCTACTCCTCCGCAGACCAAGTTGAGCGGAGCGCAATTCTTGGCATCTAGGCTCCTTGGTCTCATCGTTGTCTAAGCCTTCCTCGTTCTCGGAGTCAGACGACTCCGAGGCCTGAGCCCCGTCTTCCTCCTTTATATCTTTGTCTCCTTTGACGGACCCCTCCCGGGAGCTCCCTGACTGGGCCTGTTCGAATGCCCTACGCACTTTAATGAGCTCTTGAGAACCTTCCCTGCAACCACCCTCGCTCTTCAAGCATGCATATATCATTTCCCACAGTGGCCGAGCGAAGACCGAAGCCCCGCCCTCCCTTTCCGCTAGAGAAAGATCCCTGCCCAACTTCTCCCACGAGGGCAGGTTTAAGTGCCCTGTGGGCAAGAACCAGGGAGCGAAACTATCAATCTCCTCAAAAAAGCTCTCCAGCATTTTGCGTCCCACCTTGAGGTCTCTGGACTTTAAGAGCTTCCGGAGGACCTGTACCAAGGGCTGGGTGTCGTTACTCGGTACGTTACCCATATTTAATATGTTACTCACCGCGTGAGGCCCAAAAATCCGCCACTTACGCGTGAGCCTGAGGGGAGTCTAAAAACCCTGTAGGTGCGCGCCACCCAGGGCCCAGGTTTATCCCCTGCTCACCTGTCTCGCAGTGCTGTATCAAGGAACGTTGTCCACTACCACGTCTCGGGGGTGATCAGTTGTTCCCCGTGCGGGCCTCCAAATGTCGATGTCGCTCCCGGCCGGCAGGAAGGACACACGACAAGGTCTGGCAGTGGACAACCTTTTCTTTTATTTTCTCTCCGTACAGCCTGCCCTGGGATCGCTCCCAGCCGAAGCCTCCTCTGGTCCGCTCCCTGCGGCTCCTTCCGGGCTTCGCTCCGAAGCCTCTACCGGTCCGCTCTCCGCGGCTCCTTCCGGGCTTCTACTTCCCCCCAGGGGTGGCACCAGTATATATACGGATACAGTGTCCAATCATATTAAAGTAAGCAAGGCAAGCTGATTGGCTAACATATTATTGAGCGGGTTGTTTACGCGGTAAGCAGGAAACTAACGTGCTCGATGGGAGGGGTAATCTAACTCAGGCTTTGCTCTTTCCTACAGGCCTCACGTCCGCCAAGTAAGGCGACCAGGCTCGGGGCTGCGGCTCCCAACAGTAAAGTAATATTTTTGTATTTCATATAACTTTTTGGCTAAATTGTCTGCAGATTTGCTCATGCATGGTAAAGCAATAAGGCGCTCACACCAAGCATTTCTCCTTTTAAGAATGGAAATACCATGATGTTAAAAAGCTGACAAAAACAGAATTTAACATTTACCATGACCATACCATTACAGCATTGATAATTAGACTCTGCATTTTGACTTTCAGGGGACATGGGACACCAAATATTTAATTCTGGTCCACAGTTGGGAAAGGTTACAGAAAATGTAGCTTTTTAAAGCCAAACAAATGAATAATCAAAAGAACAAAAACTACAAAATTGCAAAATTCATGAACAAAGCTTGCATAACTTTTCTCTAAATACTATAAACAACAAAATATGTAGCAATGAAAAGTATAGATGAATCATAAATTCATCAAGTCAGGCCCCTTTGCACCTGAATTACATTTGTAAAACTTGCAAACCTTAGGAAATTAGCATATTTGGTCTTTTCATTGTATTTATCTGAAAGCTACACATTGTTCATCTAATTTTCTATAATCTACACTGTGGTATGTATCCCACATATACATGTGGCAAGGTAATCAAGAAAAATATTTTGGTGCTTAGCACGCTGACCCATTTTAAAGGCTAGCCTGACTGTGTAAATTCCTGCTAATTGAAAGCTCCAGGAAGGGTTAAAATGTTACAGGTACAAGTCGGAAAGCCATTACAAATGTTACCCAAATAAAAGCCAGAAATAGAGAGCCAAAAATCAGGTCCCTAAGGCAGGAATGTATCTTAAGTGATATCATTTGTCAAGTTCCCAGTATCTTGTGGTAAGAAACACAAAAAGAAGGTCCGTGCTGTACTGAGGACGTTACATCCTCATTAACGGCAATGTTCCTCTAGTATGTAATGCAGGATTTTCACTTTAATAAGCAGCAGTTACTTGTCACTGCATGTTCATTGGATAAATAAGGAACATAATATTAATGACCATTTATTCCACTCCTGAGAAACTTCATTCAGATGGAATCATACAATAATGATTTATAGAACATACTGTGCAAACCTGTCATTTCTTTGCAAACTAATTTCTGATTTTTTTAATGCTGAAATCAGTCAACAGTAGTTATTGTCAAAAGAACCAGAAAAGATACAGCTGCTCTTTTCTGTATGTGACACAGAATTGAAAAAATGGCACTTGGCGTTTTAGAAGACCTGATCAAATGGTACCCGAGGCTTGGGATGCCATATTTTCTTAAGAGGCAAGTTCTTTCCATCCCACCTGACCAGGGACCTTAATCCCAACATGCAGAGAAGGCCACACTGAAAACCAAGAAATTTTTTATCCACCGTGATTGTTCTACCCTGGCCACTTCGCTGAAACAAAGACTGACAACTACCCTGAATTATAGATGCACATTTTGTGATATGTAATACAGGTGAGAAGAAAGATATAGGAACAGTTTTCTTTTACTTGATTTCACCTCCCACTAAAGGCTGGTCTTGAACAAAAATCTCAGAGGGTAGAACCAACCCTGAACTATGACCTTCAATTTACAAATCATTTTTCAAAAGAATATAAAAAAATTTAAACATATTTTTGACATTATCTAAATGGGTGGAATCTGTCACGCTTGTTTTCTAAGAATAAATGAAAACAGCATGCCCTGTAGTTTCTCAGTTTGGGGACAGAGAGAACATGAGGTTTTCCGATTATGTTTCATTTTAAACCTGGGTGTTTGGATTTTATTTTTACATAGCTGAATTTAGTATATTCCCTGAAAACATAATAAATTTCCGTTCTGTAGCTTAAGGGATCCATCAGATAAAATGCTGGTCTTTCATCTTTATTACCCTCCCATTAAAATGAAAGAAACCGGGACTTACTTCAGTTTAGAAGAAGCAATTTAGTTGGTAATGTCCTCAGTCCTTACTGAGGGAGAAAGTGCATTATTGCTTAAATTTCACACATCTATCTGCATAAGAAACAACTAACCCTTTCAGACATATACTATGTTAAATTTAATAATATCCTCTGATTGGATTATTTTATAACATTTTCCATTACAGTCATTTTCTAAGCGCAGTTACATTCATAAAACCTGTCCTCCACCCCTTTGTTTGCGTATCAAAGAGCACGGGAGCAAAGTCTCTTTCTGTTTTGCTCCAGCTGTTAGGTCTAAAAGGGACAGATTAATAACTAAGTACCGCACTGGAGGAACCTTTCTTGTCCCCTGCACTAGTAGCCCTTTGCGAGGATGAGGACACAGACAGCCTCGCATCAGGCTGCTACCCTTCTTCATAACTCAAAAGCGTCACAGTGGCAATAGCCTCCAGTGCTATTTGTCTTTAGTGCAGTTGTGACACTTCGGCATGATCCATAATTTGGCAGCTATTTACCGTGACATTTCCCTTCAGTGCAGCCATAACATTCAGTGAAGCCATTATTTGGTTCCATTTACCATATAAATTGTATTGTTGTGCATGCATGCTAGCAGCTACATTAGGTACCTGAAAATGAGTAAATCTTGTAAAATAGATACTAACAGCTATTCAGCAGTAGGATTTGCTTGCTCTTCAGATGCAAAAAAAGAATTAAATATGGTACCAACTTTCCTGGAGCATCTTTAATTAAATTCCTCTTTACTGAGCATGTTTGATGCACTGAAAGTCAAGATTCTGAAAATAATCTGGTGGGCCTCACTTTTAATTAGAAGGTGCTGTGGGATTTTGACTTAATGATGAAAGTGTGGCAGCCTTTGTGACACTGAAGGTTAAGCAAGTGGATCAGCTGTGGCATGATTCAGAAGAGAAAGCTACTTTTCTTACGTGGTCTATGGAGTGTATATGTGTGTGTGTATAACATCAGGCAATGGTGATTCCACCAGGACACTGCAGAAGTAAGATGACAATGCAGAATCACTGACCGCTCTTCTGTGTTTCCACAAACAGAACACAAACCCACTACAAGCTTCCAACAGAAGCAAACACACTAGTATTTAGGTAACTTAGGTCCCTCCTGCGCAAGGTGCTAAGTGACACACGCTTCCCCAGGCACATGAAGTGCAGCCTGATTAACCCCTTGGCTGTGACTTCAAGGGTGCGTTCCCTTCTGAGGTCCGTGTTGTGTAGGCAAAGGCCCACAATGAGAGTAGGGCATACTGTTTCCTTTCCTGTGCATAGTTTAAAAGTCCATTTAAATTCCGTGGTTTCCTGTTCTAATGTCTACTTCCTGTCCGTGTAAGTTTTCAACACTGTCTTCTTCCAAGAGCAGGGAAATTTTCTATTCCACACATTTTATCAGGGTGATTGTGGACAGAGCCATCAAATAAAATCGTTAAATACATCTACATTTGCTGAATCATTTTCTAAAAACGAATGATCAAATTTTGAGATTTCTCCTCCAAATGTCTGCTTAGATAGTTGTTAGTGATTTATACACAAAGGGTGGAGGCTACTTCCGGAGGACACAGACTGTGAAAATACCTGGCTCACTTTCACTACACCCACCTCCCACTTGCAGACGACTTACTAACACAAGAGCAAAGTCTCCCACAGCAAAGAGGACTCTCTGAACTGCTTTCAAGACTGATTCTAAAATCTCACCAAGCTGAAGACATACTCATTTGATTGGGCGCTGCATCAGGAATTAATTTACTTACTAGGAACAATAAAACCTGGAATGAGACTGTCCATGATGAAAGAATCAGATATAAAGGTTTTTACCTGTTAGCCATGGAGGGAACTTTTATTGGCACTTTTTTTTCTGTCCACAGGGGAGGAGGGAGACATCTACATTCATTAACACCTTACTGTTGTTTAAAAAAATACCATATCCACCACCAACTAAAATAAATTGATTTGAGTAATTCTGAGGCATAAAGTACTCGCTTTCTTTCTCCTTTGATTTATGTCACTGTTCTGTTTTTACAGCTTACTGTTGACAGAGTGAGGTAATTCAACTACAATTTTTCCAGTGTTTTTTCCCATGTACATATAATCGACAGCCCGGAATATGGAGTTCAGGCCAGTAAACCTGCCCTCTGGAGACAGGTCACCCAGGTCCACTTCACAGGCCAGGTCCCCACTGGCACACAGCTTGAGCAACTGCTCCATGGCTGCCTGATACTCAGAGAGATAATGGTTCAGGAAAAAGCCACGGACACTGGCAGATTTCTTCAGCAATTTGACTGGCAGTGTTCCTGCTTTCACAGGCGAAAGGCCAGTAGGACTCTGGTAGCCAGAGATAAACCCAATTACTATCAAGCGCCCTTTGGTAGCCAAAGCGTCTACAGCCAAGTCAAACATGGCTCCCCCGACAGACTCATAGACCACGTCTACACCTTCTGGGTACTCGGATTTCAGGACGGTTCCAACAGGCTCGGTTTTGTAGTTGATGGGACGGTCACATCCGATAGATTTCAGAAAAGCAGATTTTTCCTCAGAAGAACAGGTTCCAATTACATGGCACTTTGCCTTCTTTGAGAGCTGCACAGCAAACTGGCCCGTTCCCCCAGCTGCTGCTGTCACCAAAACTTTCTTCCCTTCTGACAGTTCTCCGAGCTCTTTCAGGCTGATGTATGCAGTGGTGCCACTTACCAGCAGGGTAAGATACTCTGGTTTCACCGAGGGGACTGGAGTTGCATGGCTGGCAGGCACGACAGTGTACTCAGCAAAGGAACCAGGCACCATGTAAGCCACGGCCTGCCCCACTGAGTATCTGGCACTGGCAGAATGGCCTAAGGCTACTACCTCACCAATCCCTTCAAAACCTATATCAAAGGGGGGCTTCACCGATGGGTCATAGCGGCCAGCTGAATAATTGATGTCAGATGCATTAATACCAACAAATCTAGAAGGAAAAATAAAAGACAAATGGATTACGATGTTTGCCTTGCTAAGGGTTGCATGTTGTGCTTAGAAAAAAAATATCCTGCTAATTCAAATATCCTGCTAATTCTCGTGACTGTGGGAGTTGCAACACTACAGGATCTGATAGAATTTGGGAAAAACAGTCCTAACTTTCCACTGAAAAAAAGAAATGAAATGTGTATTAGCTCAACAATGATCTGCACTGTGTTGTATTATATTTATTCTTTCCTTAATTTAGGAATAATTTTACTTTAATTACCCAGGGATTTATTTCACAATGCCATTTATTTCTATCCTTTCTTTCAAAAGAAGAAGAAAAAAAAAAGGAAAAAGAGAAAGAAAGAAAAGCATCAGGAAATCCTCATTCTATACAAACTTCACAGGAGCTGAGAGTTGGAAATTAATAGCCGCTTAAGAAAAATGTTTAAAACAACAGTAGGATAAAAGATATTCAAAGAAGTACACTTGTATTGATTCTATTAACAATTTAACACTTCAGATGATAATAGTAATGACAACGATGTTATTAAAGATTGATGGAATACGCAAGGTCATCCACTGCTACACGTACTGCCCTGGTTGTTTCAAGCCGCTGCAGAAAATTTTCTCTCTAGTGTTAACAACTGTCGAGTGTAAAAAATATGTATGTTGATTAACTGGGCAGAAATTGGGGAAAAAAGTTTTTATGGAATATTTTACAGTTCTTTTCAGATGAAAAGGAAAGCAAATCGTCACTGTATTTTTGTTCAACAAGAAGCAGAAACATAACTTGATTAAAACCAGATGATTAGTTTCATTTTGGTCTCCAAAGTCAACTTAATTGTGAGGCCAGTACCTTTACCAGGTTTTTTTATTTTTGTAGCTCACTATATACTTCATAACAAAAAATATCCTGAAACACATACAAAATATTTACTAAAAATATTGAAGTGGCTTTGACAGACAAGGGAGGACCCTAAAAATGTCATTTCTACCTATAACAACTAAAAAGGTGGTAGCTGTTGGCAAAAGAAAAGCTGTTAAGTAGCTCATTTTGAAAGAATTTATTTTTAATTTAACTTAATAAACCCAACTGTGTGAGGGCACCATTTCACAGGAATATACTGTTTGCACTTACGAAGGCTCACTTTGATAACCTTTTATCTACTGAGCGGAAAGTTTGCCACATTTTGTGGGAATAAGGAAGCTGGGAAAGTTTCTTTCTCTGTCGTGCTCCTCTCCGAAGTCAGCTCACCCGCAGCCTCCACCACAGAATTCCACACCCTACATAATTCGAAGTAATGAGTGGTGGGAAAAATGACTTTTGCTTCTCATCTGGCATTTAATACCAACATGCCTACAATTTATTTTTAGAGAAGAGAGGAGGAACTGCCATTTTCCTCGAAGTTTGTATAATTCTCAGGGCCTGGCCTTTCTGCGAAGGGTCTCTGGAGTTTGTTCTGGGCAGAGGATCCAGGGGCAGAGCCCACATCTGTCCGCCTCAGGCTGTAAAGCAAGCTTCAGGAAAGGCGCCTGTGGGGGTGGAAGTGACAGCAGGCTTTGCTCGGTGGTGAGGGGTCCCGGCCCAACCTTTAGGACAGTCTCAGGGCTGCACTGCCAAGTTAACCCTTTCCTGCTACCCCTCCCCCCTCCCCCAAGCCCCAGGCGCCCAGCAGCAAACAGTGCCGGCTCCTCTGCAGGGAGTTCCCACCTCAGTTGCAAGGGTCACTCTCACAGCAGTCGGAGTGGCGGTGGCTCTTGGGGATACCCCCCACCGTGCTTCCCAGCCAGGGGCCAGGGCTCTGCAGCAAACGTCTACCAGGCCCCCTCCCGCCCCAGGCGGTGGCTTGCTACTTCCCGAGAGAAGAGGTGGAGTGGAAGCCGGCGCTTGGAGGGCAGAAGCGCAGGGGAGGCGGCGCGAGCAGCGAGCAGGAGGAGGGCTGCAAAGGCCAAGTTTGGAGGAATCGCAGGCAGGCTCTGCGGAAAGCAGCCGGATGCTGCTGCTGGCCGGCCGGCAGCCTGAGTTTATCATGGGGTTTAAAAACCCACACCGATCCGATCCCGGGGGGTCATCTGCACCCAGCGCACTGGCAGGCTCTGGAGCGCTGGAGCCCTGAAGCCCACCCGCAGCCCCGCAGCCCGCAGCCCCGCAGCTCTGGGCTCCAGCCTGCGGGCACCAGCCGGGAGCCCTTCCCAGGCCTCTACGTGAAACTCTGAGCCACCGCAGGCCACGGCCTCGGCGTCGCCACCCAGAGACATTGGTGACCCCTTGCAGTCCAGGCCCGCAGCCTGGCCTTGGCTTCCCGTGCCAGATACGCGGAACCCACATCCTCAATCCCGGTCGCAGCGGGGCTCCCTACTTTCATCGCAGCCTCCAGCCGATCCTCGCATCTGCCAGAGCCCCCCAGGCTGCGGGCCGGACGTGGCCTTGGCCACGCGCTCCACGCGCTTTCCACGCGCTCCGGCTGCCCACCCCCCGGTCTTCTGCACTGCGTCGAGGAAAGAAGCCCGGGCTGGCGGTGCCCGCGTTCGCGCCCCCAAGCTCGGCCGCAGCACCGCGCCCGCCCTCGGGTCCCCAGGTCTCCGGTGCTCGGCCTCCTGCCTCCCCGGGACCCTCTGAGGCCGGGGTCCCTCCCCAGGCCAGACCGCGCTGCCTGAAACCCGCCGTCCTTACCTGGGCTTTGGTAAGAAGCTGCGCCAAGGTCTGCAGCCCGAGGTGCGGCTCCACTAGAAACAAGTTCAAGGGCAGAGCTGGCTGAAAGGGAAAGGGGACCCCCGCGGAGCCGGACAGATAGGGTCGGGGATGGGCAAAAGGGAAGAGGCTGAGAAGGATGCGCAGCGGAGAGCTCCTGTAACCGCCCCCCATAACCACAGCTGAAAACGTGTGCTTCTAAAGAGTGTAAGATTCTAGCAATCCACTGAAAAAGACAAAACTCAGGGACCCCAGAAATAAGAATGGGGCTCAGGGTGGGCGGTCCTCAAATACAAACTCCTTTAGTTTATAGACACCAAAAAGTGCTGACTCCCTTCGTCCTTCGTCCTGTTTACAGTGAAACATGGAGACCTTGCAGAGGAGGAATGCTTTCTTTTGAACAAAAACCAAATTCGAAGACTCAAGTGCACAGCAAAAGCTTTTGATACTAGGCTACAAAACAAAACCGTTCAAAGCAGGCTTTCTTTTTTAAAAAAATTAAAAGGAGAAAAACAAGAAAAGAGTAGGAAATCTCGGCCTGGAGCGTTAACAAATATTTTTACCCTCCCGTGAGCAATAAACCGTTTATTAAAAAAAAAAAAAAAAGCCTTCCCCATCTCCCGGGGTCTTTTTGCCAATTCCTGTAAACTCTCGGCTTCATTAGCTTACACTTCAGCAGAATGTCCTCAGAAATATTTGGAAACGAAATGGTCAGTCACCTTCTTATGAAAAAGCTAAAAATATCGAACAAATGAATTTGATTAGGGGTACCCTCTTCCTTTTTCTTAGCCAAAGGACCCAGCAAAGAGGGAGAGATCAGAAGTTGTCCTGGGTACAAGGAATCAGTGTGATGCGATATAGGTCAAGGGACATCAACTGTGCATGCTGGGGGAATCTTGTACTCCCTTTCTCAAACTGTCCCTCAATGGCTAACTTTATTATTCTACATCCAGGTCTAGCTTACAAGCACTTCCCTCCTTGTGAATAAAGAATTTGTATTTTCTGTTAAGACGGAATGAAATGTTGAAATGTTCACTAAAAAAAAAAAAAAAAAGTCGGAGCACAATTAAAACCTCCAAACACCCTTCTAAACAAGAGAATCTGGGCTGCATCCATTCACTCCAGAGCAGATTTTATTATCATAAAAATAAGACATACTTGCATAAAATTGTAATGCAATTAACACGGCTTAGGGGGAGATTTGATCTAGGTTTAAATCAACTAACCTGCAGTAAATTATTGAACCCTTTCTAAAAATTCGGTAAAATGCTACTGTTACAGTACTGAAAGAATAAAAGACCTGCTTGCAATGAGGTCGTTGGGGCACTTTACAACAGAGCAAGGAAGGGGGGGGCACTAATTTCCCTGACCCTCCTAACTTGCACAAAAGTGTTTTTTTTTGTCCTTCTGGATTCAAGATAGACGTTAGAGGTCAAGTTGCTCCTATTTATATTAAAGGAATTCCTGGCATATATGGATGGGGAAAAAAAGGCATGCATTTTAAAGTAACCCAAACTGATGCATCCAAATGTGGGAGCCAGTGCTCTAGTGCTGGAACCACTGAATTGAGGGGTCCAGGGCCCTAGGTTTTGGGACCAACTCTGGTGATCCAGGACACCTCGCAGGGGGAGACAGAGAGACACTGGAGAGGGGGCAAGAGTGACAGAAATGCGTAAAGGAGAGAAGAGACAGTGAGGAAATGAGTTTACAGGACTTTTGATGACAGGCAGAGTTGGGACACCTGAAAGTGTGGGAGCACAATCACTTCCACAGGTGGCAGGTGGTCCCACCACACTTTGGTTTGGTGGTTCTCTAACTTCACACCTTCCTAGGACCTGTCTCCTCCTTCACCTCCCTTCCCAATCGGATCTGTTTTTAAACAGGATTTTATTAAATGCAGTTCTGTGTGCGTATGAGTTTAGTCAATACAATATCACAAGCCTGCGTGGAATGCCTCCTCCCCCTCCAAAGTCTGATTGGAAAGCTCTTCAGCCTGGTCTTACCAGTATTCCTGGCAGATCACTTGTGCACTCTATATGTTCGACATAAATGCACACTCAAACCGTGTTCTTACACTCCACAGCCTTAGCATTCTCACACAATGAAGCAGTCCTCTGCCATATACAAGGCCAAGGCAAACACACTCAAGGGACACACGCACACCCCCATCTTTAAGGCGCTCCCTACTGGCCCCCTCAATCCCATCCTCTACATTGCCAACAGGTTTCCAGAAGTTTAATATCACTATTAGTGATATTAGTGTTCGCAAGGCTGATAGGAATCTCTTAACTGCACTGATTAAAACGTTGCATACAGCTACTTGGTCATTCTGTTCTTCAGATCTTGCTGGGGTTTAAGAGTACTCTTCAAGCACAGTTTACAGCCTACCTGCGGCCAGGCTTTAAACTCCTCTCTACGACAGTATTATCAAACCTGAAACATGCAACGCTGGAATGCTTTGAACGGGATGTGGCAGGCCACAGAGCACAGAGGAGAACCCTTGCCGGCAGGTCTGGCAACCAGGGGAAGCCCTGCGCAGAGACCCAAACTGCTGTAGTTCAGAGTGAGGGCTTTTGCCTTCCAATGGCTTCACCAGTTACTAAGGATTTGTGAGGCGGAAACCCATTTAAGGTGAAGGCCAGGGGAGTGAAAAAGGCAGTCATAAGGTCGAGCAAAAACCTCAGCGACAGCAGAAAGTCTGCAAACATGTAGGTGAATGCAGCCATACCTCCGCCCAGCCGGCCCAGTTGCCCAAGACACGCGCCACGCGCGTGCCCTTGCACTCAGGAGACAGACAACAGTCACACAGCACTGACAACACGCAGACAACAAGGGCGAGGTGCACTCAACGCTCCTACGGAGGGGGTCTGCCTTTGCCAACCTGGAGGGGACAGGAAAAGTTAGCCAGATCCTCCGCGCCCTCCTGCAAAGCACGTTTACCTAAACGTCGCAGTTCGAGTCCGGGCTGTTTCTGTTCCACTAAAGATTATGTCGACGCAGGAACCGTGGGTGCGCGTGGGTGGGCCGCGAGGGGAGCCTCCCCTTCTGGGTCCCGCCGGTTTTATTTCGGGAGCGGGAGGGGGAGGAGAAGGGGTTGGGGGAGGGGAGGGCAATCCCAAATTAAAATAACCCCCAGTTCAGGGAACGTTCGGCTGCATCGGATATTCACACCAGCAAGTCACATTACAGTCGCTTTCGCCAGATGGCGGCGGGTTCAACTTCCCGGGATTTCGCAAAGTCAGGCTGTGCGCCAGGGCGCACACGGCAACGTGGGCACGCGGGAGGCCCGGGACAGCCGGGAGTGGCGCTGCGCCGGCCGCGGCCGGCAACGCGCGGCGGGCTCACCGGTTTCGGACGAGAAGGTCTCGGTCCCCAGGGAGCGGCACCGGGCAGTCCCGGCGCAGAGTGACCGCGTCGCGGAAGTTAGGGCTTAGCCGGGTCACTACCAGCTTCTGCATGGTGCGGGGGATGGCGGAGCCCTGGAAGTCCAGGAAGTGGCGGGAGTAAGACATGTCCACGATGGTTCGGGCGCCGGCGGCCGCCAGCCGCAACATAGCCTGCCCTCGCCTCGGCCCGCTGTCCGCGCTGCAGCCGCCGCCGGTCGGGGTCGCGCCCAGCCCGGGCCGCTCGGCTCAGCTCCGCTCGGCTCCGCGCGGGCTGGCCCGCCCCTCCTCCGGCCTGCGCCCTCCCCTCGGCTCCCCCTTCCCACCACAGTCACTCGGCCCCCGCCCCCGCCCCGCCCCCGCCCCCAGCCCGGCCGCGCGCAGCTCCCGCCAGTCTCGCAGCCCTAGTGGAAGCGGGCGCGCTCGCCCGGATCCCGGCCGGCGAGGGTGTCTGCCCCAGTCACTGCTCCTTTAATCTTTTTGTTTTGGTTTGAATCTGCTGGCGCAGACTGGCCAGGGATCCTCTCCGCCCTCCCCCTCCTCCGGCGCGGGAGAGGCACCGGATATCCCCACCCTCCCCTCGCTCTGCAAGCCGGATTTGACTCCTCCGGCGGGGGGGGGGGGGCAGCGGAGAGTAAACGAGGGGCCAGCGCGTTGGGCGACCGCCTCGGCCCTGAGCGGCGGCGGCCCCGGGCTTCCCCGAGCGGCGCGGCGGCCGGCGCAGGCGCCTCCCCTTCCCGTGCGAAGCGTTCACTTCCTTGCAAGGTGGTACAAATCAACCCCGAGCGCGGCCGGGGCGGCAGGGCAAGCCCGGGCCTGGGCCGGGCGGAGAGACCCTGCGCCGGTGCCCCGCACCAGCTTCGGTCGGGGGTCGGGACCGCCCGGTGCTCTGCGCGCGCTGGTCTTGAGCCTCCAGTATTCGGAGCGCCTCGCAGGCTTTCTGTGCCCTCCGTCTGTCCCGTGCAAGTTGCATGAACTTAACCATTTTATTTATCTTGGCCTAGATTTCATGTTTTTCCACAAATGTTTTAAGTAGCTCTACAAGACTGTTACAGGTTTCCATTGAGAGTGAACACACACTGAAACTAGAGGGCCCAATTCCCAGAACACAAACATTTTAAAGTGCCAGGTGGGACTGCCCAGGGCGTTAATAGAATTGGAGAAGTTGCAATGATGTATGAAGACTTCATTTTCTAATCCAGCCAGAAAGACCTGTCGTTCTAGCGTGTCAATTTTCTCCCTAATTGTGTGCATTGACCAAATAATTCACTTTTTATAAAGGGGCCACATTAACTATTTCCACACTTTTCTGTGATTAGCCAAGTCCATCTTTAAATTCCATATAAGAGGTGTATTTTAATTTACGATCATCTCCTGTTTGTAGAAATCCACGAATTACCTAACTATAAAAGTCACATGGTGCCTATCCTAACCAAGTCTAACCTTCACACTAAGATTGCAAAAGTGACACAGATTTTTTTTTTTTCTTAAATGTAGGACAGGCTTCACCCAAGAGTGGTTTGGATCCACGTGGACGCCTGTGTATGCATGTACAAGCAAGGGAAGGGAACTAGCACGTTTAAGACTGCAGGAACTAAAGTCTGCTTAACTTGACTTCGAACACATGGGTTTTACCTATGATCAGCCAGTGGATCACAATAACAACCCCTGAGTGTCTTCCTCCAATGTGCAATCTTTTATGTTATGCTGTATTAAGATTTCTTTTCTGTGTCACATTGTTTAGCTCCGGAAAAAAAAAAGAAAACAAAGCAATTAAAAAGATTGACAGGTATGGTTTGTGTGAGACCTATTTGTAATTGTCAGGGTGACGTTGGCGAGAGGAGGAGGAGTAAAAACTGAAGCAGGAAAAGCAGCTCGATGTGTCTGTCTATCAGTTGAGACTGTCTGAAAGCTCTGCGATCCGAATGTGTGTTATATTTCACTGAAAAGAAGAGAGAGGGAGAGTGCATCTCCTCTCTCCCAGGAGTTTGGGGGGGACAGTTCACGCTCACCTCGTTCACCCAGTGAATGTCTGGTCTTCACCCCCCCTGGCACACACTCTCCGGGTTATTGTTGTTGTTGGCTATTTTTTTTTTTTTGAAAGGGTTGCTTTTTGTATATTTTTCAAAATTTTCTGTTGGGAGATCAAGACCGGCCAAAAATCCATGCTCGAAATGTGTTTGCATTAGATTTTGCCTCGGAAGAAGCGGTGATCCTGGTGGCCAAGTCTCCCCCCACCCCGCCGGGGGGGAGCAGCGCGGGGCACAAAGTGGTGCTCCAGCGGTGACACTGTTTGATCTGTGACTGTTTGGAAGGTGGAGCAGCGCTGACATCCCCCGGCGCATGTATGTACGGGGGCTTCACTCCTCTGTCTTGTTTGCTTTCTTCCTCCTAGACTAAGTGCGGGAGGAAAAGGACAGCCCGATCGGCCTCGCTGGCGCACAATGAGAGAGCTGCGACCCGCGCACTGAAAGCGCCCGCCGTGACCCCCACCCGGCGAGGAGAGGGGCCGAGAAAGTTGCGCGCCGAGACCCCGGCTCGCCAAGGAAGGCGCGGGAGCGCCCGGCGCGGCGCCCAGACAGCGCCCGCCCAGCACAGCGCGCGCGGCATGGAGCGCGGGCCGCGGGCCGGCCCTGCGAGCGCCCTTCGCTGCGCCCGCGGCCCGCGCCGGGGATGACTGCGGGCTCGGCGCCCAGGCCTCGCGCGCTCCGCCCGCAGCCCCGCGGCCGGGGAGCGGCCCGCGCGGCCGCCTCCTGAGCGGCCCCGGGCGCGGCGGTCCATGCGAGCGGCGCCCGCGATTCGCGGCCGCCCGGAGCCCGGAGCCTGCGGGGACGAGGCCAAAGTTGGGCGCGCCGCGGAGTTGCGCCCGCGCTCGGGCCCCGCGTCCCCGCGTCCCCGCGCCCCGCGAACTCCGGCGGCGGCTGAGGCGACGGCTGCGGCGGCCCGAGCAGCATGCCGAGGAGGAAGCAGCAGGCCCCCCGGCGCTCGGCAGGTAACGGCGCGGTCCGCGCGCGGGGAGCGGGCGCCGGCTGGCTGGGCGGGAGGAGGGGGCCCTCGCCGCCCGCGGAGGAGGCCCGGCCCGCGCCGCCGCGGCCCCCGGTGCGTCCCCGCCCCCACCTGGCCGGCGCGCGCGGAGCGGGGCAACTTCGCCTGGTCTGCGAGCCGGGCCGCGCGCCGGGAGCCCGACAGCCGGCCGGGGAGGTCCGGGCGTCGGGAGGGCGTGC